TTTTGCTATCTAATCAAAGTTGCATTTGACGAAATCTTAGATTAGTTTGCGTTTGAAGCCGCGTGAGCGCTGAATGAACGGTATGGCAAGGTGTGCCGGCACCCTTACAACTTACTCCGCTCTCTGTTTGCTTGCTTTGTAATCTATGTCGTGCGGTGAATCACTTTGCATTATTTTCAACCATGTGTTTTTATTATGTCAATTTGATTCTGTTTAAATTCAGTGTTTTAATGTACGATTAATGACCTAAATTGGCGATAAAATTATTTGCAGGCTTTCGGTTAGTATTTTGGTGTGTCGTAGTTTCGTGTATTTATTAAATCTGTGAAGAACATTTGACAGCTTTCTATTCTGCATTCTCTTTTATTTTATTTGCGAAATATTCGTTTGCAACGTTCTTGCTTTTTGCTTCTTGCTTATTGCTTATTGATTTAAGTTTAAACTAAACGTTTGAATCATTTATCAGCTTATTGAGTACGTATTCACTAATTTTTTTTATCGATATTGTTTCAATGCATATGCTAGTTATATTTTAACAATTTCTTATATGAGCATTTCATGTTTTCTTTCTTTTCATCAGATTTTCATATTTATATTTGTATATATCCAATATAATGTTTTATAATTTCAGATGTTGATAATGAAACACTATTCATGATGAAAGGTATTGTGAATGTTTTGGCTGCATGGCTGTTCGAGGTAATTTGGGTAACAGATTCTTAACGTAAGTGCCTTTATGTTTTTCATATCAATCTGGAACACTACAATCAAACACTCAAATTATCAACTAAAACAGTAACAGTTTATAAACTGATATGTATCATATATGCAACTAAATGGAGTTACAAATGTTCATTCAATAACATTCCTAGCTTTTTTCTGCAATTTATTGTATTGTTCCTCAGTATACTCACACCTTATCGGTGTCCTGTATGGGGTAGACAAAGTTCTAATGGTTAACCTGAAACTCCTCTGAATGTAAAACTGATACGTTTTCTCTTTCTTGATTTGCTGTATTAAATATATTTATGAATTACCCACTACCCAGTAAGCATGTGATGTTGCAACAATATTCTATATAAATCCCTGCCAACATCCCCGCTTTGACAATAAACCAATGTGGTGTAGATGTTCGTTTAAAATTGCAATTGTGATATATCGATCGGTCGTTTTTTGTGAAGGCTATCAAAGGCTATATTTATATTGAGAGAGAATCGTTACATCAAATTATCTTATATTTTAGAAATTTTAATAAGTGTACATTTTGTTAACATTTCTTTTTATCTGTGATACTGCGACGCGGCGCTTACGCGCTTCGGTGTTTTTTCTCTGAAATAGCCGCGTAGCATGAGTGCTTTAAAAAAAATTCAAAATTTTCAAAAAAAATTTCGAGACAAAAAAATTCAAATTTATCAAAAAAGTCTATTTTTTTTAAAAAAAATTTCAAAAATCTCATTTTTTCAAAGTTTTTATTTAAAAAAAAAATTAAATAAAAATGGAAATTACGTACTAATTATTTTGATATATGTTAAAATTATTTCAATTTAATAAATGTTCAAGTATAAATAAATAAAAAAATTATTAGTATTGCCCGAAATGCTTTTACTGATGGCGTGAGGTTTGAATAGGAATGCTCAAAATATAATAATTTTTTATCCGCAAATATATATTTTTAATAATCTAATCATAAACAAAATATTTATCAAATATGCTTAGTTCTAATTCTATTTCTTGTTTGGAATAAATATCAAATATTAAATGAATAACTTGTGAATTTTGTGAATTTGCTATACACAACGCAATGATATGTGGTAACTCTACTGTGGTAACAGGAAAGGTAGGATTATCGAGGATTAAGGATGGCCGGTTACCAACAAATGGTGTTTGTTTTATATTGTTAGTAAACTTGGCATTGAAATAAAATGGGAAAGTAAGTACATCATATATATAACTATTGCTCTGATGGCGCGTGCTGGTACGGGGTTAAAAGTTCCACGACCAAAGTGTCAAAAACCAGTAAAGCTAAAGCATTGTTCAACAACAATATTTGAAAGTAGAGGGAAAAAATTTATAAGCAGCTATAACTTTGACTCTTATGACTTTGCTATCTGGAGATAAACTGTAATCTTTGAAAATTCATAATAAAAGTATTTTCTTTATTAGTTAAAAGTGAAATTATTTTGTAAAATACCTTTAAAATTAAAATAAGACATTAAACCTGTTTGCCATCTGGCCGTTCCAAGTTACCCCGCCTATAGGGTTAAAAGGTCTCTATAACAAATATTTGAAAGACAGAAAAAAGCACATTTTTACATTAATGAAGTAGCTGGTAGTTTTACCGAACGTAGTCAGATAATTGTTTGTTTGAAATGTGTCATTTGTTATGATAAAATTGGTTTGATTTTCATAATAAAATTTATAGTTGCTCAAACTCAAATTCGACCTTTATTCGACAATTATACACAAAATCCAGAATCCAGAAGAATCTGAAAAGCTTACAACGTAATCAATAAGTCGAAATACCAAAAAAGACTTGGATTGGATTATACCATGATTTCTATAGAAAGTGTATAAAGCTTCCAGTTTGATTGTATTGACAAAACATAGACAAACTAATGGGGCTTATTGTTTTTATAATATCTCATTGTATATAGCATTCAAACAACACATCCTTATACACTTAAAGTATTAATATTTTTGATTCTCTAGAAATTGTTTAGAATATACCTTTCTTAGCAAAACAACGTTTGCCGGGTCAGCTTGTAATACTATATATGTTCTCAGAACTAATTATAAGTAATTGCCGGAAAATCGATTTTCACTTTTTGAAGCTACTCTTAAAATTTTTCTCTTGTAGACTGATATCGAGGACATCCAAAAAAGATGTGGTTAAGGGATTCTTCTTCATATCCACATGTAAACGTCGGGGAATTGATCATCTTAATTTTGTTTAGGTGCTTTCCAAATCTCCAGTGACCTAGTCGGATCCTACATATATTTGTAATGTATTTTCTATTTTGTTTTATTTTTTTAAACCAAGGTTGCGTAGATACTTTCGGGTTTATTGATCCATAATTGTCCTTTTTTCTCTAGAGCCTTTACTACTAGAGACGCATGTTATATTATTTGCGTCTTACATCATTTTAATTTTGGCACTTCTTAGCTGCTTTTCGACAATAATAATGTAGACATTACATTTTCTTTATTTATAATCATGAATTTATTATATTTTAATATTGCCTTAGCCTATAAGTGAATAAAAATGTTTGGCAAATGACAGTTGTCATTTGTTTTTAATGTCAAACCATGCCTTAAATATTTTCAAGGTCAAACAATGATAAGCGGTTTTTTATATTTTTTTCCATTTATTTCTACAATCTAACGATATTTCTATGAATCTAAAAATTCTAAAAAATTTCCCGAACAAACTTCAAGTAGATTCATGAAAATCCGAATTATAGTTTAGGAGGATTAACCATTCATATAAACTTACACAAGAATTTTATATATATATATATATATATATATATATATATATATATATATATATATATATATATACATATCATCATTATCCTTACGGAATCTAGCTCTATCCATGAGACAATTCTTCTCTAAGTATGGGTCCCCAGTGAATCCTATAAATACCAAGCAAAATATGAAGTCAGCATTTCCATTAAAAATAAATTCATTTATTCATATATTTGTAATACTAACGTGGCATATTTAGAGTCGGCAGGGCGTTAACTTTTAGATTTGTCTTTGAATTTGTTGACAAATATTCCACTTTGCAAATATTTGTGAAATGCGCGTCACAAATATGTCGATTTCGGTTACCTCATCCATTAAAGGATTGTTTGTCCTCTGCACCCAAACTGAAAACATCTAGAACATTTTCATAGTATTTTCATCATATTCATTATACAAACATAATACATCATTATATACATACTTGATCATTAGATGCCGGAAAGACATGCATCTTTTTATTATTTGTGGTGTTAACACAATTTGGTACGTTACACTTCACCATTTTAACTTAATAATAAGTAAAAAAATAATTACCAAAACAAGTATGACCACAACGTATAACAGATAAACAAATATAATAGAACTACAAGAAGCTATCACAACTTAGACATAAAATGGCGATCAAATGCATGATTTTCCGATGGGTTTTTCCCACAAGAAACGACGATTAGCAGTGCAGCCATGCTCATTTATATATAAGTGCAGCCATCTATTTTTCTTTCCGATGTATCAAATTGTTAATAGTGGCGCCATTCTTCGATAAATTCGAATATTAAGCCATTTCAAAACAGGGTTCTCTACATTTGTTCGGAGATTACCGGCCATGCTAGTAATATAAAGTTATATGTAAATCTTAGAGTACTAGTGCGAAGGTTGAAATTGCTTTGCGTTGAGTTAAGTGTCGCAAGTTTCACAATATTAGGTTCAGCTTCACTCAACAAGTATCTCATATCATGCTCAATGTTCATACGATTTCTGGCTTTTGTTTTTAATATAAGAAAAGTTGAGAAACTGAGTCAAGTGGAATCAAGATCTTTAAAGTTCTGTCAGCTATGATGGGATATTCTGCAGCTGCTTTTCGCCAAAATGTGCAGAGTTTATCATTTTGAAAATCAACTTTCAATAAGTTATTTTCACGCAGCCCGAGACACTAGCTGACACATCTTCGTCCTTGAATATATCGACGCAAGTAGAAAATGGTCTTAAAATCCAGGAGTAGCACTCACGAATGTCCATGTCGGGAAAATATTGCTGCAGTGAGTCTATCACGGCAGTTAAGTGTTACACCACAGAATTTTCAAATGTGATTTTGTCTCGTTTATTATTTAGTAATTGTTCACTTAGTCGTGTAAACATCGACACATCACCAGCTTAAACTCTGCGTTGGTAAAATTCCAATTTGCGTAAAAAACTTGCGATTTTATCCTGCAGCATCAAAATATTTGTTTCATTTCCTTGCAGTGAAATATTCAGATTATTAATTTCAGTAAAAAATCAGCAAGGTACGCTATTTTTAGAACAAATATATGGTGTTTAATTTTTGCATAATATTCTTTTCCTTTTTGTGTTCTCTGGTTTTCAAAAAACAATCCAATTTCTTCTCGTAATTCATAGACCCTACTTAGAACGTTGTCTCTTGATAACCAACGTATCTCTGTATGGTACAAAAGTGCATTAAATGTAGCACCAACTTCATCGCACAAAACTTTAAATAATCTTGAGTTAGTAGCGCTGCCTCGAATATGATTAACAATTTTTACTATATCACTCAACGTGTTTAGCAAATCTGGTGGGAGTGTTTTTACAGCCAAAGCGTAACGTTGTCTCAAACAATGATAGTTGAAAACTTGAGGAGCAACTTGTTTCACAAGTGACTGAAAACCAGAACGGATACCCATCATGGAAGGTGCCCCGTCTGTACAAATACCAACCAGCTTTAACCAGCCCAGGCCATTTTCCTCAATAAACTCTTTTAGCGTTTGAAATACGTCTTCGCCGCGAGTAGTAGTGGGCAAAGACTTGCAAAACAAATATTCCTCCTTTACATCATCATTTTTTATGTATCATGCGAACATTAATAATTGTGAACACGAAGCAACATCTGTGGACTCGTCCAACTGCAGTGCAAACATAGGACTTTCCTTTATTTCAGCAATAACGGTTGCTAAAATATCGGCACTCATTTCACATATGCGTCTTTGAATGGTATTGTTTGAGAGTGATATTTGTTTAATCTTAGCTACATGTTGCTTACCTATAACAAGTGTTGCCGCATCTAATAAGCAAGGTTTGATGAGGTCCTCTCCTTTAGTGTGTGGTTTTTTATTACATGCGATGCGATAAGCAATTTTGTATGAAGCTTGAAGGTATGATTCATTTGCTTTCTGTATGTTGCCTGTAGAATCCATGCGCAAAAACTTCAGAATCTTCTCCTTTTCCTTAAAAAAATCTATATTTTTATCTGCAAACTGCTTGTGAACTGTAGCAAAATTTCTTTTAATTTGTTCGGTTTCATGCTTTCTGAATTATGCACTTTATTCATGGACCTTATACAACTTCATGGACTGCTAGTCCCCATACATTTCTCAAGTAAAAAAATGTCAAAAGATGTTCTATGGTATGAGGGCATACGAGGGTAATTTCGCGGCCGAAAATGTCAAACTCGATCGCTTGAACGTCAAATGAAAGTCCGTGTGTTCGAAATTGTTGGGAAAATATTATATAATATACAATTTATGTTAAACTAATGAATGTAATGAACTATTTATATATTTAGTTATTTATTTTCGTTATACAAAGTGTTTAAGGAAAATAAGAAAAGAAAATAAAAAAATATTTTACATATTATAAAATTCACTGAAAATAAGAACAGTTGGCTAGAGCTATTGTGGAAAATTAGAAAGCAATAATGAAATATTTGTTTAAATGTAATATATTTATTATTGGTGTTTAAAAAGCACAATTTTTGTGTGAAAGTGGCGTACATATTTAGCAACTTTGATTTTTTTATGTTCTTCATGGTGCATTCTAATTGTTAAATACATTTTTGCGACAAAGTTGATAAGGTCATGATAGTGCTGGACAAATTGCTGGAAATGGCTTGATCTAAAAAAATGTGCAAGTCGCAAGTCATTCAACTTTTGGAGAATCGTGCTTTCATATGAACTTTTGTACATTAAATTTAAAGAATTTTGAATTAGGGTTTCTATATATAAATATAATTTAAACATTTCATCGGAAGGATATGAAAGATATCCTCGATTTTTTATATCGATGAATGTCGAATTTCCCGGAATACTTGCGAAGCATTCAGAACAGGTGTTACTGCAATTAGGAACTTTACCACAGACCAAACACATTTTAGAAGACATTTTACTTTTAACAATTTTACAACAGGTATATTTTTATCCTCTTTTAGTTTAAAAACCCGAGCGATCAAACATCACGTGAACCCAAGTAACTGTAAAATTTAAGCGATCGAGTGCATTCGACTAATCTCGGTAAAGCTCGTGTTCGTATTTGACATATCTCGGCCGCAAAATTACCCTCGTATGCCCTCATACCATAGAACATCTTTTGACACTTTTTATGCGCTTAACTAGCAGTCCATGTATTGTATAAGGTCTATGACTTTATTACATAAAACACACTGAAGCTTTTCTATATTTTTGTCTGTGATGCTTGTGAAACCCCATTGTAGAAATGCTTCTTTATAAGTGCGCTTTTTGCCAGATGGAGTAGAAGCCATGTCAAAAACACTTGTAAGTACCCAAAACAAAAGTTAACTAATAAGATACCTATGAAAACGAGTCACTCGTGACAATATAAACGTGACGATATTAACAAATACTACTTACCTTTAAATTTAAACAATACGATTTCTGCAATGCGCGGCGGAATGTAATATTGTTACAATACAAGTGATAAGTGAATAGGTATTCGATCATGGGTCTAAGTTAAGTTATATACCCTAACTTTAATCACTTGGATGTTTTCTATTGGCGATTACCACCATTCCTATGGTGGTCAATTGCAGGGTCTGTCTCTACAGTCTTATAGGTCATACTGAAATATTAGGGTCCTACGGCAAGTCGTTTAATTTAAAAAAATCGACGAAAATAGTAATTTGGAAAAAATTGTTAAACTTTTCGTCTATATTTAAGCTCATACTACCGAATCGATTTTAAAAAATCAAAAACTTTTTAAAAGATATTATTTGGGAATGATACGGATTAGTTTTAGTTGGTGCTACATTTAGTTTTAGGTGAAAATCTATCGAACCGTTTTCTTGTAATTAATTGTTGCAAAAAAATTAAAATCGAATTTTATGGAATTTTTTTGGCGATATATATCATGGTCTTATAGAACTTACTGAAATAATACGGCCTTACGACAAGTAGTTTAATTTTAAAAATTCATCAAAGTTGGAGAAAATGAGTAGTTTTTTTGACGTTTGTTAAAATTAAAATTAGACGATTTACTTTTTTATTTATTAAATGACATTTATACAGTTATAAATCTTATATATAATATTATATACAACAAATACAATTTTTTTTAACTAAAATATGATATGTCATCCAGATCGACGTTTGGTTGGTCAGCATCACTGGTATTAGTATCAATAGAGTGGCTTTCACTATTGCTTGTGGAAGTAGCATATAAAGATTTCTTCATTTTACAAAATTCATCTTTAGATGGTTCGTAACCAACGCAGTTATGGTTGATTCGCTGACTACTTAACAATAGCTCGTTAAGTGTATTAGTTACCAATTTGTTGCGTGTTTGGCATTTTATTAATCCAATCTTGCAAATATTCGCTCACATTCGGCATTAGCATGAGGTAATGACATAACATTTAAGAAAAATTTAGCTAAGTTTTCAAAATTCCAAACCTCTTCCTCATCTTTGTAAATTAAAATTTTACTAATGTCATCCGGCAATTCAAAATAATGGAATCTTCGCCATTCATTTTCAATAATTTGACTTTGACTTGGGTTTAATAATCGGGGCAGTTTACTCAATAATGGTAGCAAACTTGGCGTAGTGATTACTGTTTTACCATTCATTGCGTCCGCAGGATTCTTTACTGATAAATTTTTCAATATAGTATCATTGAAATCGAATCGTTTTTTTATTTCGTCACATCTTCGAATTATAAACTTCCTGAATTTTGCAAGAAAATGCAATTTTTCTTGTAAACGAGGATGTTTTGAAAAGTCTGCTTGGTTAAAATATTTAAAAACTTTTACTCCAACATAAATATTTTGAATATTCTTATTTAGTCTGATCCGATGGTTTAATATTATATATGGGTGTTTTATTTACGTAGTCATCATTCATATATGTTTTTAATAAATCCAAATATGTCACACTACTTTTCTTATGAACTGACATAATAATAGAGTTTTCGGACTGGAATAACTTGTTTAAATTCGTGAAGTTAGGTAAAATCCATAATAAAAAATGATAGTAAGGCTTTATTATGGGATTTCGCAAGTATTGAAGTATTCTTGCAACTTCAGATTCATTTTCATCTGTTCCATCACTATCATCTTTCCTCCTTTTACTCATCTTCCTGTATTCCTCTTTATAATTTAATTGATTGAAATATAAAACTAGTGGGGCGCATGGCATCGTGCCTTAAGGCAAATTGCTGGAACTTCCCGTACCAAAAATTATTTTTTTTAATAAGATTAACATTTTTGAAAAAAAATTACTCTGAAAAAATAGATTTTTGAGAAACTATAAATTTTTGACAAAAACTGACTTTTTGTTGAAAAATTTATTTCTAAATATTTTGGAAATTTTGAACTTTTTTTCAAAGCAATTCTACTGCTTTAAATGCATAGAGACTAAATATCGAAGCGCGTAAGCGCCGCGTCGCCGTCTAACGGATAAACATTGGTACGGAACCCATAGGAATGTAAACAAAATTTATACTTATTGTTAAAATCTCTATAAAATATCTGATAATTTGATGTGCATATGTCTAATGTCTAATGATTATTGTTGACCGCCAAATGGTATTTTTTTTAGTTTTTTTTACTAGATCTCCGAAACCGCTAGACCTATTTTCATGAAAATTTGATAAGTGTTCATCTTGTACGCACACACACACACATACATCAATTTTCTCCAAGGTATGCCAACATATTCAGAAACCTTTGAAACGTAAAGATATATAAAAATTTTCATTTTCGATTTTTTTGCGATTACTATATCTTACCCTACGCAAAGTTAATTATAAATAAATCAATTTATCATCTCCAGAACATTAACAATCGTCATTTCATTTCGAATCAAATTTCAAAAAAAAATAGTTGCCAAATTTACACAAAATTGAAAAAGTGCTCCCGCATAGTCACAGTCTAAACGCATTTGCAAATAATTCTGTGCGACTTTTTCACTTATACTGTGCTTAGCTTGGCGGCATTTTCACATTTTTCAATGATTTTCACAAAATTGGAAAAGTGCTCCAGTACATAAACAGTCTAAACGCACTTGCGTAAACATTTGTACCAGAGTGGCGCTTAGACTGTGCTTAGCCTGGGTGATTTTTTGAATTTTTAGACCCAAAATTACAAAAAAAATTTTTTGAAAAAAAAATTCGAAACAAAAAATTTTTTTTTTCCAAAATCAATTATTTTGTTGAAACAAGCAAAAAGTTCTTTGAATCATTTAAATCGGACGCTTAGTTCTCTCAAAAACTGCCATTTTTTTAACATTTTGCTCTGTATCTCCGAAACCGCTGGGCCTGCCTTTGCCAAAAACTAATCAGCACATCTCCCTATCAATAGGAATCGAATGTTTTTTAAACCATTCAAATCGGTTGATCCGTTCTCTCAAAAACTCGTTTTCTATTTTCTGCACTTTTTGCTTCATATCTCCGTAACGGCTGGACCTGCCTTTGCCAAAAACTAATCAGCACATCTCCCTATCGATAGGAATCGAATGTTTTTTAAACCATTGAAATCGGTTGATCCGTGCGCCCGAAAACGTGGACGAAAAAACGCGGACATACAAAACACACACACACACACACACACACACACATCCATTTTTCTGAAAGTTGCCAAAATGTTCAGAAACTTCAAAACGCGTCGAGAAAATGTAAAAATTTTTTGATTTCGATTGTTGGACGATTACTATGAACTTAAAAACCTTTTTTTTTTTTTTTGGAACCCTATTACCCCTACGAAGTTAATTAATGCCTCCCACTCGTTCTACCACCACCATAATAACCATGGTAACCAGCGGGTCTGAGCAGGTTGTAAAACTTTATGCTGTTTCAAATCCAATATCGATTGAATTCTTTTGTATGCATATTGGCGTTTTGAGCTCACTGAAAAATGATTATGAACCAGCTGTGGTAATTTTTCACATTCTGGGGGTAATTCAGAACAAG